TGAGAGAAGGGAGGGAGTAGAAGACTCACCCCGCATAGTTCCCTCCAACGCGCCCGCCCTTGCCTGCGGGACCGCATACCAGAATTTCGGCGCGCCGAAATGGATGTAATTGATGGAGAAAAGGTCCATGTCCTCGACGTGCCACGCGAACGTCGCGCGCCACATGCCGAAGTAGAGGTACGGGGTGTTGACGCCTGGGTGAGTGTTAGAGAGTGTTAGAATGCGAGAGGAAGGAAACGCAAGAACATACCTGGTAATCCATGCGTCGAGGGAAGCAGCCGCGACAACGTTGACGGCAGGCGCGCGACGTTCCACGTGTCGAGCGTGCGCTCGAAGAGCGAGCCTGTTGAATGTGATCAGTGAGAGTAAGGAGGGAGGGGAGGAACGGGCGAGAGCATGAATAGCCTGCGGCGCGGACAAGAGATACATGCGCGTGTCTCTGCACCCTCGATAGATGAAATGCCTGCGGCGCCCGAAACATCCTCGTCCCTCGCGGTACCTGGGACTCGTACTCACCCATCGTATCCGCCCCATACCACGCGGGCTTGCCCAATCCACAATTCCTCCAAAATGCGCGCTCCAATTTCTGGCAAAACTCGGGTGTGTAGTCGGCAGGGGTAGTGGCCGGGGGGAGCCAGTCTGTGAGCAGGTATTAGTATTACAATACAGAATATACAAGAGAGGGACACACCGGTGTGAGGAGTGAAGGATTGAAGGAAGGTAGCGTCCTTCTCTACTCGCTCGGTGCGGCGGTTGCGCTTTGCGTCGGCCTTGGTATCCTTCTCTTCCTCCTTGGTATCCCTATCGTCGGCCGGTGTGTCCTTGGAGTCGGTGGCATCCTCGGGGTCGGGCGAAGCGCTATTCGGCGGAGAGGCCATCGCGGTGTCCTGTTGTTCCGCTTTCATTTTCTCCTCGTCCTTCGCTTCCTCCTCCTTTGTCTTGGTCTTCCGTCGCCGACGTAAAGCTGGCATCGCCCCCGCGCTGTTATGCACGCCGACCTGGTCCTTTCCCGGTGCGCGGAACTCGTCCTTGGCACACAGCTCCGCCCACTCCCGCACACTCATGAGCTTCCGCTTCTCCACGTTCTCCTGCCGGAACAAGCCTCCCCGTCCGCGCATGAACTGTTCGATTGGGCTCTTGATCTTCACATTCGCCAATTGCGGGGTCACATCCGGTAGAGAGGACGACCACTCTTTGGGGGGTATGACCTTTACGATGCCGGAGTGGCGGCCCCAGGGCTCGATGGCCTCCATGTATGCCTCAAAGTCAGCGAATTCCGCCATGGTTGGCGCGAAGACGGGGATGCCGCGGTGGGCCAGGGGGTCGTCGTCGGGTGATAAATAAGTTTTGCCGGACGACGAGGGCGACGGTGGTAAATGGGACGGGTCAGCGCCATAGAAGTGGTCGGGCTGGACCGGGGGCTCCGGGGAGGGCGACCGCGACGCCGTCAGGGAGGAGACGGGCGACGACATGGGGAGAGTCAAAATCTAGAGTCAAACGCCGCCATCAATCCCGGCCTATCACGAGACTTGTGGCCCGTCTCGACTCGGCGCCTCGACCGTTTTTCACGTATTTAAATTCTCGACTCAACACCTCGACCGTTTTTCACAACTCCGCAGTCAGTTTAATTAACTTGATTCCAATTCAATTCGCGGGAGTGGGCGTTCTACACTAGTAGTGTATGTAGCTGAGCTACACTTTTGTCAGTAAATTATATCTAATAATCCCCGCCCCGTCCCCCTCCATATCCGCCCCTCCCACCCCCGCCAGAGTATCCGCCCCGCCCGCCCCCGCCGCCCGAGTACCCGCCCCGCCCGCCCCCGCCAGAGTATCCCCCCCGCGACGCGCCGCCGCCGTTCGTGTACCCGCCCCCACCGCTATATCCTCCACCCCCGCCGCCCTCATACCCGCCCTGCCCTCCAGCCCCGCCATACCCGTAACCCCCCCGCCCCCCACCAGCCGCAGGCCCCCCATACCCACCCCTCCCGCCCGGCGCCGCGGTCCGCTCGCGCGAGATCGCGTACTCAAGGTTGAGCGGCCCGTACGACGTGAGCGAGCCGTTGTGCGTCTTGATCGCCTGCGTCGCGCGCTCGACGGACATGAACTCGATGAAACCCGAGCCCGTGAGCTCGCCCGTCATCTGGTTGCGCACTATCGTCGGGGTCAGGAAAAAAAGGGTTAAGAGAAAAAGAAAGGGAGACACACAGAAATGCGTCCGCTGGATGCTCGTCTCAAAGTCGCGCATCGTCTCCCTCAACGACTCTTCGCTGCCCCTGTAGTCGAAAAAGTACAGCTTGTGCGACGGCGGGTTCGCGCTTGTCGGGCGCGCAGGCGCATAGTCCACGCGAACGTTGCGGTCGAGCATGAACAGCGGCTCCTCCGCAAAACTATTATACGCCGACACGGCGTCCTCCTCCCTGAGGAACTCGAGGTGCGCAAAGCCGCGCGACTCGCCCGACGGCTTGGTAGATATGCGCACGGACTTGAGCGGGCCGAAGGGCTCGAATTTTTCGCGCAGCTCGGCCTCTTCGGCGCCGAAGGGGAGGTTGCCCGCGAAGAGGACGCGGCCGGGGGGGTAGGCGCCGCCGGTCTGCGGGAGGGCGGTACGCGGGGTGTCGACGCGCGGGGCGGTGTAGTCGACGCGCAGCGGGCGGTCGAGAACCGTCAGCCCGGAGCTGAACACCTTTTTGGCCACTTCGAGGTCGGAGAAGACGACGTAGCCGAACCCACGGCTCGAGCCGTCGGGGTTGGAGACTGAAAAAAGTAAGAAAAAAATGCTAAGATTTGAGGGAAAGAGATGGGACGCACTGAGGCGCACGGTCTCGACCTCGCCAAACGCCTGGACGACCTCGCGCACGTCCGCATCGGTTGCGTCAAAGGGGAGGTTTCCGAGGAAGAGCTGCCGGGTGGGGGCGTGCTCCGAGGCGGGCCCGCCCTCGTATCTGCACACCAGTGTCGTCGAGAGCGCTCGCAACGAGATGGGTGCTGGTCGTGCGACACGGGCCACCAGAGAGGGCCCAGTCGTGCGCTTCACGGCAGTCGCAAGGGCGAGCCGCGCTTGTCGACGTATAGCAGCAACGAGCATGGTGGGCAGTGGATGGAAAAAAAAGTTTCTGAAATTTCCGTATCACGTGCTGCCCAAAGAGGCAATTTACGGGCCCTGTTTGTTCTCTACCCGCAAACGGTAATCGACGAACCATCGCTCACGTTCTTTGGGCTATTGCGCTAATACATGCAGTTTTTTGCCATCAATACTTATGCACAGCCTGTGAATTCTCTGCCACAACTGTGACGATGTCTTCAACGAACAGTATAGGTAGAGTAGCAATTCACCTGTAGTAGTTGACCTTTTCTTCCATCGCATTTCGAGACCAATACTGCACCACCCAATCCTACCTTCTTACTGATAGTGTAGTGAGGTCTTGACTGTGACAGGGGGTATACAGCCATTGAGATTGAAAGCGAGTCCATGCCATCTTCGTCACTTAGTTACTTCGCTTAGCTTTGCAACTTTGATGGGAATTTCGTGACTTTGATGGCTTTCTCGTGAGTTAGTATTCCGGGCTTCTCAAGCCGTGATATTCGGCACATCACGGAGTGGTAAATATCAGCGGCTTGCCGAGCTGGCCGGTTAGGTTTGGGTTAGCTGGTTAGCGGTTAGAGGTTAATGGTTAAGGTTAGCTGGTTAGGGTTTGAGGTTAGTGGTTTGAGGTTAGTGATTAGCAGTTAGAATTAGTGGTTAGTGTTAGGGTAAGGTATCTATATGAAAAAACTGCACGGCCTTCAAGTGTTGAAGGAACAATGATGGCCGATATTCCGGGTTCTGGAACGTGCCGAGTCAAAATGACGAACTTTCCCAGAAAACCATTGGAAGTAACGAACTTTTAAATGCCATCAAAGTGGCGAGGTTTCGTGAAAATAAGCGAAGTAACTAAGTGACGAAAATGGCTACTACCCCTTGAAAGCTTCAAAAAAAATGGGATAGGATAATTTTATGTAGGCCGGAGTCTCACACTACGGTATTTGTGTGTAATGACATTTCCTCCCTAGACAGCTTCTCCGGCATTATGTAACTGGAAATTTCTGGTAGACCCAGTGGATGATTTTTGGAATGCTTCACTGAATCCCAAAAAAAAAAAAAAAAGGCACAGATGTTACCAGCTCAGGTGGTTGTCAGCAAGAGAAGAGTCAGGAGATGGTTGTGCATCAGCAGATGACGTCATAAACAATGAATAATCTCTGAGTATCGAGGAGAAATGCATCACACAAAAAATTATATTGACAGGAGGAGGAGGAGGAGGAGGGGTGTATTACTGCAGAGGTCCCAATTAGGTACTGTACCGATGTACATGGCGCCCTATGTACGCTACAGGCCAAGTTGCTGTGGTAGCCTACATACTGTAAAGTACATAGACATCTCACGAGATGACAGATGAAGACAGAAAAACAGCTATCCTGGGGCCCTAAAAACTACGGGAAAATACCTGGGAGTCTCATCAAACATGATCAAAGATTCTGAGGACATGGAAGATGAACTTCGCAAAAATATGCACCGCATCCCTCGACGAGACCAGCTTCAGCATGAATGTGTAATTGGACACTGTCAAATGCAGAGCACACAATTCTGGATCATGATATGTCAAGTCATTGAGGAAGTTGGACCTCAGGTCAACGAGGCGGGTGTTCGCGAGGCAATCAAACAAGGCATGTACCCAGTATGTACCCCATCTTCAACAGCCCCCAGACAAAATTGGCACAACCGGTGCTGGCGTGGAACTGCCAGCCTGTAATGAGCAGGATAACAGAGACGCTCAATGCATAGGTTGTGGTCCCCGAGTAATAGGCTGGTCATGGCCTTGCGATGACAGGGTTTGTTGTGCATCAGCAGACATCAAACCCTGTTCTCGCGATCACTCGTTCCTCGTAAGCGAGGAATGTCAACGGCCCCGCCGCAAACGGTCTTCCGCATTCTGATGCACACCCTCCTACCCACCCGTGGCGGCACTGTGGCGGAGTGGTTAACGCGACAGATTCGAATGACGATGTCTAATATAAGTCTGATCTGTTCCTCTTGTAGGGCGCATGTTCGAATCATGCCAGTGTCGATGCTTTTTACGTTGCTGTTTTTTTTGCTGCTCTCTCAGCTGGGTGCGTCACACAAGTCAATTCGTAAATTCCTATTTTATGATCCACAAGGTGACTCGTCCTGAAAAATAGTCCCGCCTCGGGTTCATCGTGGGACAGTTAAGTTCAATGTGGGATAGCCAGCTGCCAGACTACACTGATCATTCTTTCGGCATCGGATTTCCCGCAACAAGTACACGAACTACTAAGACGCGCGGTGCCCAACTAGTGGGCGAATAAATAGAAAATCTCATGCTTGCTCATGCGCGGATGGGGGTACTTATCAGCGGGTGGTTAGTTGTGGAGAAGGGGCATTCCCCCAGCGCCAATTGTGATGGAACAAGTGATTTTTTCTGTGGTTCAAGTCGTATTGCAACTGTTTTGTATCTCAGATACGTATTTCGAGCAGTAGAGGTTGAACCTAACCTATCAGACACGTGCTGAATCCATAAATATAAGGCATCAACCCAAGATATTCACGTGCACCACTAAAACCTAGAGGGAGGTGCGAGGAATGACCAAATTTCTAAGAGTGGGTTGAAATTCAGATACCAATCTCACACCGTACTAATGTATGTACGATTTTCATAAAGGCATCCGCGCACCGTGATCATAACTCACTTACGTCCATAAACTAGACGATTTCACTCCGCCTCCAAAGCGGTGATCGGATCCTTCCCAGTCTCGTTTGTATGACTTCCGGAAGCAACATAGGATTCAGTTGAAGATACCACAGAAGGCTTACCATGCTTCATAATGCAGTGGAGATAGCCACGAGCCAGCGAGCGGGCCCATCCGAAGATTGAAAGCACCTTGCTAGAAACACAATCAAGAGTGTGAGGGTCCTGCGCTGTATGGGCACGCAAACCAGGGCAGAAAAGGCTTTCCACGTACCCCCACATGAGGAACGCAAATGGAAGGGAGTGCAGCAGAGCCAACGACTCCAGACCAAATTGTTGGTGAGTGACGGCCCAAGAAGGTAGCCTGTCGTCCGTTAAACATCAGCAAGTCCATTGTTCGCTGCTCTATTCATACCACGACGTCAATTTCATCGTCCCTCCGCCTGCGACTTTGGCGCACGAGAATCAGGCCAAAAATGATGCTCCCAAGACTGAAGAATACGGATATGTAGCTCGCAATCTGACTGGTGGATCGCGCGGATATGTGGCTCCCATCGGCAAACGTTGGTATTGACAAAAATGCCACGTTCGCATCCAGAATCGTCGCCTTGTTATGAGAGCACCCACTGAAATTTAAATTTGCAAACACGCACATAAAGGATAGGCTCCTGCCATTCCACACATAGGCTGTCCATGATGCGATGCCAAGGTCCAATGTAAACACAAGCATATCCTCCCAGGCACGAAGATGGCCCAGAGGCGCATTGAACAGAATAGGGCCGAGAATGCGGAGGATCGGGGAACGTGTGGTTTCGTTCCTAAAGACAGATCGCTCCTTGTCCAAACGTGTGCAAGGCTCGCTGTGGAAATTATACAACCTTCTTTGTGCTGCATGGCTATGAGGACCAGTAAAAGATCTATAGTCAATACAGTCCAACCGAATGCCCACATAAACTTCGCTGAGGTTCAGCCAAGAGCCATCTCAGGTGAATCCAAGAACTGACAGATTATGCATGCCGTGCCACCATGATCGGTTTCGATGTTATCCCAGGACGATGATGATGGTATCGTCAGCGGGGGAAACAGTGAAAAGACGGTAAGATGGAGCACCCTTGAGGCGCTCTGCTACTGAGAGCATCTTCAGAAGATTGTCGATGGAGTATGCAACGTGGTCGCGGTTCTGGATCTTCGTATCAATCCAGATTATTCGGGATCGGAATGCCACGGATCGACTTACCACCAATGCTGTACGCCACGGTATCCCGCAACTCGCAAACAAGTCCCCGGGATACACGCAGGATGGACGGAAACAAGGTGCAGTGATACCTGCCGCTCATTTCATCATAAGAAACAAAGACACCCACCTGGCGAATCTCTCACCAATATTATGCAGTGAGTTCCATTTCTATGCGTTGGACATACATGTCAGGATAAATGTGAGGTTCGGAGGGGAAATACGGACTAGCGTGATGTAAGGACCGGGCCCCGTACACCTCGTGGAATCGCACCAGGCGTCGAAAGTCGATCGAACATACCAGAAAATGATCCGTTGGCGGTGGTCGGCGAGATAAAAGCACTCTGGCTTACCATTCTCGTCTTTGATGAGGTCGAGATCGAGATCGACTTGGTCATCCGCGAGAATGCCGTTCTTTGCACGGTACTCCTCGACTTAATGGATGAATGACGCGGTCCAATCTCCTGGAATGTCCCGAGAGCAATATACCATGAAGTTCCTAATAAATTGGGAACTGAGAAGCAGCTGCGGAGCATACCGTGCAAATTTGAAATGATCTCGTATCTGGCTCGAGTGTCAGGTCAACAGTCTTCTTCGCTGCACAGATTAGCCTACTTTGAATGACGGAAATCCGAAATATTGTATGCACATGGTGACATTGCGGTCATATCTCCCAAAATACGGGTCGGGCGCAATGCTGAGCCATATGGGGAAGAAAGCAACGGCGTGAAGGTGCTCATTGATATCCACATCTTCATTCGCCTGCTCAAACGTCGGTGGAAGCTCTTGACCCGTATCGGCGTCATCGAGAAGGGTAGACGGAATCGGGGGAGACTCTGCTCGGCCAGAGTTGGCGTCGATAGGGGCAGGCTGTGTATGAACGGTCTGTGGTGTTACAGGGAGGGAACATGTACTGAAACCTGGATTGACGGCTTCGCTCTGTTTTTCGCAGCGTTGAAAGATGGCACCAAAGCAATTTCCGCGGTATAATTTGCCCATTCACGTTACGACGCGAAGGATAATTTTGCTGGGTGAGCATCTCATCAGGTCGAGCAGCTTGCCAAACAGTGGTTGAAGGTGAAGAGAAGGCATCGTGTGAGTGTTTCCTCGGAGCGGAACTACATATGGTGTGGATTTCCACCGGGACGAAGGCAAGGGCAAGGGTCGACACATCCAGAAATCACATGCATGTGGTCCGCATGCCGGAATATATAGTAACACAAGGCCATCTTTGCCCCACAGCATCGGCGCCGCCAGCGACAGCAGCAATGCAACACGTCACCTGCAGAAAATGGCCAGATTTGCGAAAGGAGGCCTGGACCCGAAGGATCAGTCGCAAAAAAGTTCCGCCACTTGCTTTTCACCACGTAACCCGATTGGCGAGCGCGGAAAACGACCAGGCCGCCATTCTCGGGTTTTTCGCTCGGACTAGGCTCGAGAAGAACGCGAACAGACCACATCAAGAATCGTCGCAGAATCGCCTCAGAATTAACTCAGAATCATTGCAGAAGTAGGCTCGAACCAGCCGCACGCCAGCACTGAACGCTTGATGACAGTCGATCAAGGAGTGGCCTATTGATCGACTGTCATCAATTTCCCCCGGTCTAAATAGCGACTGCCTCGAGTCTATTGCAGAAGCTCCTGCCCGACCGCGACTGAGATATGGGGATTCTTTCAAAAATCCCCGAGCGACGCCTTTCGCCAGAGAAGTGGTTCAGCATTTGAATCGTCCCTGCAGTAGCAAGGATTTCTGCCTCAGGACAGTTGAGAGCGTTGAGCAAGTGTTTGTACAGCAGTGCGAAGGGACGCGGTGGAGGAGTCTGGAAGGAAAGGCACCGATTGGCGTCGGGGGGCACTCGATGGCCAGCTCGCCTCATCGATACCCGGATAAGGACCGAACGGAAGGAAGGGTATGTGGGAGACGACGAGCATGAAGAGCTCGGGCGGTATGTTTGCTATTGCCTTCATATCTCGCCTGAGGGAGCGGGGGTGCCTTTGGGATCTGGCCGCGGAATCGTCCTTCAAATTTACTCTGGACTCCGAGTCGGATCGCGTGCGGCGGGACTCGAGGCACGCCCACTCATTGCGTCTTTGCCGTACCGCAGCGTATCCCGCAGTTCCTGGAGTAATAACCCAGTGGCGATTCGGAGCGCCGAAAAACATGCACCACAAGCACACGGTACAAAGCTTCAGTATGGCAAAGGATGGTGTGCATAGACAGATCAGATCTAGTAGAATATTGTACCGCAAGGAGGACCGGCCCACGATACGCCGTGGGCAGCGAGTCGAGCAGACCTAGAGCGGGGTGTGCGGTTTCTGCAGCCGAGTGGTCTAGTTACGGCGCCTCCGACTCTAGACTCGGAGTATTCCTGTGAGCAAAGAGATCGACCACAACAGGAGAGGACGAGACGCGAGCTTCGGACGAGGTAGCAAGATTTCACGAGCCACATGAACGTAAGAGACAAGGAAAGCTCCCGTGCTGATCAGAAATTGGGTGCGTCCTCCCAGTGAACCGACCACGTCCCTCAAATGACTTCGAAAAACCAATAAACAATAAAGCCGACTGAATCTGATTGATACACTACAATATTACGCTGTACATCCGCAGTCCGAGCATGTACAGTAACCGAGCCGATACTAGGAGGACGAAAAGACGAACGAGAAGTGCGAATTGCGCGAGAGAACGAGGTAGAAGTAGGCGTTGATTCAGGCCTCGCTCTTCATCCCCTCGCCCTCCTTGAGCCCCAGATGCGGGTCAATCGCCTTGGCGCCCTCCCCAGCGCCCGCACTACTCGGGCTCCCCCCCTCCTCCTCCCCGCCCGCATTCCCGTTCGCGTTCCCATTCTGCTGAAAACCCTCCCCCGCATACGCAGACTCGGCAAACTCGCCCCCGCCGCCAAACGCCGTGCGGAACGGCGCGGGGACGTTCACAATGCGCTGGAAGCGCCCGCGGAAGTCGTCGTTCGGCTGGGCGTACGGGTACGGCGGTGTGCCCTGAGCGGGGTTCTGCGGGAGGGAGTTGGGTGCAGGGGGGACGGACGCGCCGGGCGGGACGGGCAGGGAGACGGGCGCGCCCGGGAGGTTGGGCACACCGGCCGGGGGGAAACCTTCGGGGTGCTCGTAGCGC